GGAATTTTATAGACAAGACATAAACATATCAAACTTTGGCAAAGTAACTTGCAGTATGTCCACTGATGTTTAATTTGATGTTGTTAAAAAGCAATGTCCATAAATTATTGATTTTTTATGTAGAGCTGTTCAAACGTTAACAATCTCTGACATCGATTTTTCATTAAAAGTTAAAAATTTGTCATTAAACATCCTTCCATATGCGTTATTGTCGTTTGTTTTCCGTCTCTCTTTATTGCAAAACTTTCTTTGACTTTTGTTAACTTTTCCTGTTCATACGGTTTGGAGTGTTCAATCACAATGGTTAAATTGTTTATCACAATGATGAACGTAAATCATGAAGTCATTTTCTAATGGAGTTTACGATTTACTTTTTAAGAGTCAGTGACAAAGACAGCCAAACTTTTAATTTTGCTAGAAAAACATATGGCAAAGGTACCATTGCTTTATTATAAATTTACGTTTACAAATTGATAAAGATAAAAATATTCATATAACCGAAATAACAATTGGGCTGTCATTGTCTCTCTTAACGACTTAACACATAGATATTTTGTATATCAAAATGCAATAATTAAAAAGTATTAACAAATTATTTCAGTGCAAGATAGTATTAGTTTAATTAGTAACAACTTGTTTTTGGTGTAAAAGAGTATCGAAAAACATGCAATTTTAAAACCATCCTACACTGAATACATTTGCATGAAAATTATATGTTTACATGGTGCAGATATAAACCAAATATAACCTATGGTACAATAACTAACAATAGTTTGCATTTTATATGTTTGTGTGATAAAGGTCAATGAAATTATTTCCTTGTGCAAGGAAAATTATTATCTTAGACACGAAATCATTTGTATTTATGGTTTGTCTTTATTGTCATTGCATTTTCATCTTTAATTAACTTCAGGTTTATACATGATCTCTCTCAATGTTGACATTATCGTACACTGCGGTCTCTGTACAGAACAATCAAACTTAGACAAAGGTCGTTTCATAAAATCATACCCAAACATACATTAATTGAAATGTCAACAATGATAGGGATCATGCATAAAAACTGAACAAGATTTTCTTAAAGATAATATAGTCATTATTCAAAATGGTGAGAAATTTTATCATCAAAGATCAAATTCATTCTCGAGGCAAGATGAATTTTACGCATTGTAGCGGGAACTTTAAGAAATAAAAAAATAAAGCAAGTTTGCGTTTACGACAGTAATGTAAAGTTCTTGGATATCTACCCACATCCGAGTGAAATAAATTTACAATCTTAAAATATTTCAAATCAATCAAATATAGCTCATCACTAAATATATACCTATCATCAACAAAGAAAAACTTTGGCCAAAAAATACAATCAGTATAACTATAAATAATTTGTATGTTTCTAACGTCAAATACTTTCACATACTTACGTACGTTACTTATTAATAATTTATCTGCTGAAGGTGAAAAAGCAGCGTCAGTTATATAGGAAGTCTTATCACGCATGTACTCTAAAATGACTTTGTCGGCGATTAAATTGGTGATTTCCTCCTCAATTACGTCATCCCAATCATCAACTTGTTTGTCTTCATGCCACATACAGTAAATTATCTGATCCTTAAATTCAACTTTAGCAAACACGTGATACTTAGAGCTACATGCAAATACGTGCACATTTTGATAATTTTCAAAATTCACTGATATTTCTTTTCTCTTGTTTTCAACATTAAAAAACACAAAAGAATCAGTTTTTTGACAAGCAAATGATACATCACTCACCTCAAAAATTTTGTTTGTACCTTTTAGTTCATCGAAACTATAAACAAGTTTTGTCAAATCATTATTCCAAAGCTCAGGAGTATTTTTAGCCGTAAGCAAAATAACTCCATTTTCTACAGCAACCATGTCCCTAACAAAACGTTCTTTGACAACAAAGTCAAATGTGTTGAGATTATATAGAAATATGTTTGAATTTTCTTCATTGCTCCGATACAGAAATTTTCCATTTGAGCAAAATTTCTGGTTACGAAAACTGTAACTGTTAGTTAAACATGCACGCGGTATTGAATAAAGATAAAAGTCGCGTCCGTATTGAAAAAAAAGAACATTGTCGTTGTTCAAAATAAAGTAACACATTCCTGCACCATAAAAGGAAAAGCTAGATCTGTTCTCATCGAAAGGATCAAGAGGTATAAACGAATTTAGGGAATCAGGATCTAAGTAAGGAAGTTTCTCCCCAGTGGGATTTACAATGAAAGGTTCAACCCTAATAAAAGCATTGCAACAACACCAAGAATGAAGACCAACAGTGAACAACTTACTTGAAAAACTAGACGGTAAATGAACGCCGTAAACGAATGTTTTATAATTATTCGTTACATCAAATATTTGAACCTCTCTTTCTTCCTTAATAACACACAAATATCTTCCAGAATTAGAAAAACACAGTGAGGTCACATTATTACATCTAATACTGCGCTTCTTCTCCCCTTTCTCAACGTCCCATACTGTCAAAGTATCTTTGTAACTAGTGACCATTGTGTACTTATCCTTAGAAAAACATTTGTTGGTAAAGAACTTAGAAGTAGAATCATCACATTGGAATGAACTGCAGGAAATTTTACCTTTAATATCTAATATCTTATGAAGCTGCGAAGCAAAAATCAAATCGTCGAATGGATGAAAGACAACGCAAAAATCTTTGTTTTCAGAATGCTTAAACTGACCAGCAATATTTTTTACCCATAAACATCTGTTTGTTCTCAATGAAAAAAGTTGCACAACGAACCCAAGATAACCACAGACGACGTAATCATGATTTCGTGAAACATCAACAGAAATCAACCAATAACGTAAACGTAATAATCGAGCCTTTACAAAACCCGTGTCTCTGTACTCTAGATATGGTGAGTCTTTGAAACGTGTTTGAAGCATTGTAGTGGCTTCAGACGACAGATCTTTGACGTTGGTGGCAACATTTTGCAAAAAAATTACTTCATTGTCAGAGTACATCATTACAGAATAAACTTCATTAAATACCAATCGAATGTCCGCAGAAAAAAGAAAGTACACATCATGTGCGTTGAATAATTCAAAATTTTCAAAATTCCGACGACTATCAACCAACACAGAAGCAACTAAAACGTCCAAGTCAACAAGATATTTACCAACATTTTCAACGATACATTCATTATCAGAAATATCAAGTAAATGAAGCAACCAATACTTGACTGAGTATCTTACTGACGCATGTTTAATGACGTCGTAGTTTACACCTCCAGCTTTGAGTTTATCCAAAGATTTTAAACAAAATTCTAAAACAAGTCGATGACCATAAAGAGTTTTTACTGAATAAATATGTTTTTGATCATCCAACAACCAATCATTTAAAGATTTGTGAAAAAACGAAACACATCCTTCTTCATTGGTAACAAACAGACAAGAGATAATCTCTCTAACCTGAAGTGATATGCGATTCGAATTCAAACATAGAACGTCATCGATCATTTCCCAAGGAAGAGGTTCTTTAGCAACAGCCAAAATATTTAAAATTGACTGAATCTTTTCGTTACTGATATGAAACGAATCTAATTCCTTACTCAATCTTGTTAAGCAAATTTCGTAATATTCATTGAGATCTTTTGGTATGGACGCATTCAACAAATCGTGGTTTTTGACTTCACTGGTAAGAAGCGATGCAAGCAACATAAGTCCGTCAGCCTTTACTGCCAAAATATTTTTAAAACCAGGAATGCTGTCACTAGAGCCAATTCTTTCTTCAATCAAAAAATTAATATCGTCTAAATTACGTTTATCGCTGCAGTTAATGAACAGAGGATTTAATTTTTCGAACTTATTCAAAGCAAGTTCGTTAGGTCTCGTGGTAATTACAAGGCGAAAACAATGCGGAAGTTTGTGTAAGTGATTAGCAATCAAATAAGCAAGGTCATCTCTTTCTGGATAACCACATTCATCAAGAGCATCCAACACCACAAGAATTCGCTTAGGAAACTCCGAAATTGTAACAAATAACTCAGTAAAAAGAAGGGAAAATAATCCTTCAACATTCATGTCATTCAAAGGCTGAGAGAGTTGACCCGAAAGTTTTTCCACAAGAAGTTGTTTGTAAGCTGGAAAATTACTACTAACTTGCATCGCTAAAGATTGAAGAAGTACATTGGCTTTATTGTAACGACTGTTTTTGTGTTGAAAGAAATGAACTGCAGTCAAATATTGTGGATAACGTTTACATAAAGTAGCTGCAATTACAGACTTTCCCATGCCAGCAACAGCAGAAATAACAAATGCAAGATTTTGAGAACTGTCGTCTTCGAACCAAGCCAAGAACTCATCAAAAACCCATTCCCGTGTTCCCTCTAAAAATTTTTCATAATGATGTCTAATTTCACTTTCAAAGTTACAACTTACAAGTTTTTTTGTCAAAATATCTTCTACTGGACGTGAGTGAATTTGACGTTTTATTTCTTCCTGATTACTTTTAATTTCTTCCTGTTTATTTTCAATCACACACAAATGATTCTGTACATCAAATTTGAATTCGTCCCATTCTTTCACAATCCTATCACATTCTTCATTACCAAAAAACTCATTTTTCAATCTATCTATTTCTTTATGACTTATTCCTAAACGAACTAATGGTTCGCTTATTTCCAGCCAATGATTTTCAAATTCATCAAAGCGTACTGAAGTGTCAGGTAAGTGAGCAAAACGATCATTACGAAATAACCTGATACGGGTAATATCTGCTTCAGTTGAATGATCAGTGGGGTCATTTACTGACGTCCATATTGGATCACGTGGTGGTTTTAAATCGCAAATATTACGTAAGAGAATACAAAGTAAAGTAATGTCAAGCTTATTTTCATTTGGTAATATTGGAGGATCTGGATACAGTAGATCCCACTGATGTGAATGGATTTGTTTATTCTTTAGACTTGAAAGTAGTTGCGCATTTTCGGGGTCATTTAAAACATTAAATAAATCAGTACCTGACAGTTGTTTCCTCAATGTTATTCTTAAAGCTTCTCCACCAACATCAACAATTAATCTCATCAACTTAAAGCCATTAATTTTATTGTCTGAGCTCAAGACAGACATAATGTTGCTCCCTGCAGAAAAAAAGTAGGTAAGACTTACATGGTACAAATTTATTGTGATTAAAATGGAAAACTTAAGGCCGGTTGCACAAAGGCCGAATAGCGTTATCCATTGGATAGCAAAATATTTTAAAGTTTTACAAAACCTTTTAAATTGAAAAATATAGGATTTGAACTGAGCAATCATTGAAATAAAATACTGCTTCCAAGATTACAGAATTTCTTTCTCCTAAGGAAAATATAAAGACAATTTTCTACAAGTTTGAAAATTTTACTATCCAACGGATAATGATATCCACGCTTCATGCAACTTCATCGAGATGTACAACGTACATAAAAACTATGGTTAAGACTTGCAAGGTAAAATGTTAACAAAAAACAAAGAATGATATCATCATTTAGAAATTTATTTTTTTCACATAAAAAAGAAAAAAAATACATAGCAGAGCTAAATATTATATCAGGTAATTACATGCATATCTAATTATGTAAGTGATTACCATAGTGGCAGTCAGACACTACCATTTTTTGACCAATAGGTGCACGGAGCTGGCAAACTACACGCATTAATATAATTATATATACAGCAGTAAGTTGCACAGAAAGTGGTCCTACTGTATATTCTCTATACTGTGGTTGGGGTGACATAAACATATGGATGTAATGATCCCTAGACAACAATCGTTTTCAAAGGAACTTAACACATGTAGCCTATATTATGCATAAATGATATGATCTTCAAATTAACAATCATGCTACGGTCCTGCCTCTGTTTTTTTGATAAATGTGTTTCAAGGAGTCAACTATAATTGTGAGAGCAATAAAAACGGTCAGTAAAAAATTGTAGTAAGAAAACCAATCAAAAATTAATGGGCATAATTCTCATGATTATTGAACAAAAATTCTTTTAAATATATAAGAATCTGTACCCCTATAACCAAAGCAATTTGTGTTATAGGGGTACAGATTATGTTGTACATTCAAGTGTGCATATACAGAAATAAAGAATCCCCGAGAATTCAAAATAAACTTTTTCTACGAACATCTACTTTTAAAAGTTCAATTCTATTTCATTTTATCCGCTACATTTAACCTTCAACTTGAGACAAGGGACACTTTTTCAGGCATTTCACTCATTCACAAGTAAAATAAATTCTTGCGAAGCAATTTTCTATTGATGTTTTAAAACATTTTGGTTTCATTTTCCTTCAATTTAGCACATGGAACAATTTAAACAAAAGCACGCGTTGCAAAACATTTTCATGATAATTTTGCTTGACACAAATACATAAAAAGAAGTAAATATTTAAGAAGATCCGTGTTTAATCCCTTATCCTTGGCAATTGCGTCAAAATGCCAATCCCGTCAAAATGCCTTATCCGGCATTTTATCCCAACCCAAATTGGACTATATACCAGACAGACATTACATCCTACTAAGCACAAGTTGCAAGTACCGGTCGCTGGAAGGGATAAAATTGATATTTGTGAACGCTTGCGTTAATATGTGTGAGCTAAAAAAGATTAATACGCAAAGTCCGAACTACAATTTGCCTAACCTTTTGAGGTTAGTAAAGATAAATTCTTTGATTAAGTATCTAGTCTTAAATCAATACGCGAAAGCATTGTCCAAATGAGCTTTAAAAGTTCGGAAAGATGTAAATAAACGTGTCATTAAACTGAGGTCAAATTTATAAATATAATACAACCAAAATGTACATAAATGTAGCTCAGTAAAACCTTTCACCGCTTTCTATTGTAATAAAACATGAAGTATACGAAATAATGAAGCAAAGTAGTTGATTTTTGTGATCGAGCAACTACGAAGGTTTTATTGTTATTCATTCGTTCCTTTGTTGTAATTCTAAATGTCATCATGGCATGTACAAAATAAGCACAAAGGTTGTATGCATGAAAAAGTAATATGAATGAGTCAAATATCTAAACATGAAGCTATTATATTTATTGGTAAAAGCAAAGTCACATACCAATGCCTACTTCTTATCAGATGTGTGTAAACAGCTAACAAAATCATGTGATAGTTATTGCCTCAATCCATGTCAATAAACTTATTGGCAGTGTTGGTATATAATTCATCGTGAATATCCCACATGATTCAGATATCATTCCTTTTGTAAGTTATTCTGTTTACCCATTTAATACAATGTTCCTGTAGTTATGTTAGTAGTTAGATCATTTTAATGTATAATTATCAACATAAAATGTTTCATTTTGAATTACCTGTTTATTTTGTATTGGTGAAGGATGAATGTGTATGGGTGAAGGATGATTGTGTATAAATGCTCATCTTTGCAAATTAAGTGTCTTGCTACATATATATGTAGCACATTATACTGAAAATTACAGAAATAAATTGAATTAGTGCACGACCACATACATATCAGTTAAAAAATGGCGATCATTATTCATACCTTATTGTTACATCAATCTTTTATGCATGTAAGTTTTTTACATAAATAGCGAACGAAAAGGAAGAGTGAGTCAGGATCTCCTTCAACAAACAGTATAATAAAACATTAATGACATCTATATAGAACATTCTAGTTATATAACTAAGTATACATCACTGACTAGAAACAATTGTTATAGAATTAAAAATACATAAATAAGAACCTCATGCAGAGTACAAAATAACATTGAGATTGATCAAATTCCAAAGGACTAATGCTAAATCTTATAAAGTTTCACAAGTTTTAACTCAGGAATAGAGAATCACCTATCTAAGTCGGGATTTGAGTGCCAATGATTAAGATACAATTTTTGAAACTGTGAATGGTTTTTCCCTTCACTAATCAAAAATTCCATACATGTATATTCTTGCATATGTCAGTTCATATTATATAAAACCTTTGTTATTGAATAAACTATCGTAAATTATGAATACGTGGCAAACATCAACTGCACGCAATTATAATTACTTATGATCAATAAAGACACTGTAGATACAACAGTAAAGGATGCAATGAAAGTAAACCTTAAAACTGTTAAACAAACATGATCAAAAGTATAATTTTAAAAGCTCACTGTGTTGCATGAATCAACATTTCACAAAAATAGATTCAATGGCGTTCTTTCTCTGTGTAAATAAATTCTTCCTATGTTTAACATATGCTTATTTTACAAATGCTTTTACTTTAAAAATGAATGGTTTGCTCAATACAATTAACAACACTTTGTTAGACACACAGCGATTAGTCAAAAGTGGCGTTGGCAAAAAAGGGAGGTGATGCATGATTGGACATGCTACCCCCCCTACATAATTTTTCAAATATTCCGTTTTTCCAAAGACAAGTATGCTATTTCACCTCTCCCATACCTTTGAATTGGTTTTGCTTTCCTTTACCATGCAGCTTATTGTCAATAGTTAGAAAATTGGTACATCAATTAAGATATGATTTCTCATGCATGTTTAGTCATACTTTGTCGAAATGCTACTTTATCTAATTTGTTATGTCGATAATGTAGTTCTAAAATATCGTTAAATTTTTCTAAAATTACCTTCGTTTTAGAAGTAAGACGACCGTGTGAACAAAATTATGCTTGCTTTAGTTCTTTACATGTCACATACTCAACAAACGGATGAGAGATTTAATATAAACAACGCGACCACATACATATCAGTTAAAAAATAATGATCATAGTTCATACCTTATTGTTACATCAATCTTTTATCCATGTAAGTTTTGTTACATAAACACATTTAAATATCGAACGAAAATGAATGTTGAGTCAGGATCTTCTTCTTTAACCAGTATAATAACACATTAATGACATCTATGTAGAACATTCTAGTTATATAACTTAGTATACATCACTGACTAAAAACAATTGTTATAGAAATAAAGATACATAAATAAGAACCTCATGCAGAGTACATAATAACCTTGAGATTAGTCAAATTCCAAAGGACTACTGCTAAATCTTTTAAAGTTTCACAAGTTTTAACTCAGGAATAGAGAACAACCTGTCTAAGACAGGATTTGAATGCCAATGATTACGACACGATTTTTGAAACTGGAATGGATTTTTTCCCTTCATTAACCAAAAATTCCAAACATGCATATTCTTGCATAAGTCGTTCATATTATATAAAACGTTTGTTATTGAATAAACCATTGCAAATTACGAATACATGGCAAACATCAACTGCACGCAATTATAATTACTTATGATCAATAAAAAAACTTTAGATACAACAGTAAATGTTGCAATGAAAGAAAACCTTAAAACAATTAAACAAACATGATCAAAAGTATAATTTTAAAAGCTCATTGTGTTGCATGGATCAACACTTCACAAAAATAGATTCGTTTGCGTTTTTTCTCTGTGTAAATACATTCTTCTTATGTTTAACATTTGCTTATTTTACAAATGTTTTTACTTTTAAAATGAATGGTTTGCTCAATACAATTAACAACATTTTGTTAGACACACAGCGATTAGTCAAAAGTGGCGTCGGCAAAAAAGGGAGGTGATGCATGATTGGACATGCTATCCCTACTACATAAATTTTCACAGATTCTTATTTTTTCCATAGACAAGTATACTATTTCGCTTCTCCCATATCTTTGAATTGGTTTTGCTTTCCTTTACCATGCAGCTGATTGTCAATAGTTAGAAAGTTGCTATATTAATTAAGATATGATTTCTCAAGCATGTTCAGTCATACTTTATCGAGATGCTGCTTTGCCTAATTTGTTACGTCGGTAATGTAGTTCTAAAATATCGCTTAATTTTTCTGAAATTACCCTTGTTTTAGGAGTAACAAATGTTTAGGAGTAACAAATGTTTGTTTTAGATGACCGTGTGAACAAAATTTTGCTTGCTTTAGTTCTTTACATGTCACATACTCAACAAACGGATGAGAGATTTAATATAAACAACGCGACCACATACATATCAGTTAAAAAATGGTGATCATAGTTCATGCCTTACTGTAACATTAATTTTTATCCATGTAAGTTTTGTTACATAAACACATTAAATAAACGAGCGAAGATAAAAAATGAGTCAGGATCTACTCCAACAAACAGTATTATGAAACATTATTGACATCTATGTCACATTATAGACACAGAATAATAATATACAGAAGAGTCACTTGTATCGGAACCTTTGATGTTTTTGACCTCCCGCATGTCGTGGTATAGGGAATTTACAGTAGGTCCACTTCGTGTGCAATTGGCTGCTGTATATTTAATTAGATTACTGTCTGCCGTTAGACATTTCATCATTCCTATTCGTCTAAAAAAGCAATTGACTGGCTGCCACTATGGTAATCGCATGCGTAATAAGATATGTGTGGCACGAAAAATTTCAATAAAGTGGCTCTACTGTATGTTCTTCTATAGTGTGTCTATGTACAACATCTCGGTTATATAACTAAGTATACATCTGAAGAATGTTATATGCAGTGCAAAGCCGGTGCAGTGCTCTGACCAACTGAGCTATGAAGTCACACAGTGGAGAGCAGGTCAATTTTGTTGGGCTCATGTTTTCTCTGCACCGCACTGCATATAACATTCTTCATATGACATTCCTTTCACGAGAAAACATGAGCCCAACAAAATTGACCTGCTCTCCACTGTGTGATTTCATAGCTCAGTTGGTCAGAGCACTGCACCGGCACCGCAGAGGTCATGGGTTCGAATCCCGTTGACTCACCTGAATTTTTCACGTTCATGAGACAATTGCTTAAATTGTCCAGCAAAGTGCGAAGATCATATCTTCATTTAATTTCAAACCCCGCACTGCATATAATATTCTTCATATGACATTCCTTTCACGAGAAAACATGAGCCCAACAAAAATTGACCTGCTCTCCACTGTGTTAAGACACGAATTTTGAAAATGTTTTTTTCTACTAACCCAGACAATCTACATCTACAAACATGTGAAAATTTGTTTTTTGCGAAACTTGTACGCTGATCGATTTAGCAACGTTCTCTCAAATGTGTTGTTTTTTTTAACTTTCCCCAATCCTTTGGGGTAACCATTACCTCCGTAAGATTTCTAGCACTTCAACAGGACAGCATATTGATATTTACTGTCTCAATTCAGAGACAAATCGTTCGTTCGTAGGGCCATACTGCCACTGTAGGATTCCAATGGAATATGAATTTCAACAATCGGTTGTAACTAAAAAATACGTCAAACATGTCAAATACATCGTAAATATGAGTGGACAACAATTAATAAGAATTTATAAAATTTCAATGTTGCCAGTGAGGTGCCAGGTGTGAATTGAATTCTAAATATAAAGATAAGATCCCAAAAGATCGTGTTTAAGAAAGCCATCAGCATTTGATTTTTCAGTATTTATTTAAAAAAGCAAGCGACGTTTCGTCTTGACTCAAGACATCTCAGACTAATTACATAGACTTACTACGATGCTCAAAAGTTTATGTTTATTTTTTTTACTTTAATGTGTGCCCTTTTTGCTGGAATCAACTATCTATCACTCCCTTTTTTCTCTTCAGATCTTAAAAACTCTTAATTTGGTCTTTGGAATAGTTGGGAGAGGGGGAGGGGAGAATGCACTCAGACTAATTACATAGAGTTAAGCCTAGGCCACACTATCGTCTATATTCACGAAAACGAAAACAAAAGGAAAATTCGTGCACGAAATACATGCCAGACACGACATAAAATTGCAAGCATGTGTACAAAGATCGGCTAAAACGTAAACGGTATTATTGCTGGATGTGTCTTTGTAGTAACCTTTGCAATAACAAAACAAGCACAAAAGAAAAGGTGTCTTTCTCTGGCAAGAAGTTACTCCTTCTGAAGTTGAAAGCAAGCATTTAGCAAGCCAATCAAACGCTGATACTAGATTGACCCAATAAATAAACGACGTGATCGACTTGGAGTATTTAACAATTTGATTGAAAAGTTACGAGAACCGAACAAAGAAAACAGACTCATAAAATACTTGCGAATGACGACAAATTGTTTTTTCTCGCATCGGATTTATTAAAACTCATGCCACTCCGCCATCCTTGTGTATTAAGTTTTAGATTAGTAGCCAATTGTATGCGTTTTCGTTAACGAAAAAGGTCAAAAGTTCAACTCTCCTTATAAGCACAAAAACAAAATTTTCGTTGAGTTTTCGTTCAAGATTTTCGTCGATATGGACGATAGTATGACCAAGGCTTTACTACGATGCTCAAAAGTTCATGTTTATTACTTTTATTTTGCTGTGTACCCTTTTACAGGAAGCAACTATCTATAACTCCCTTTTTCTCTTCAGATCTTAAAAACTCTTAAATTGGTCTTTGGAATAGTTGGGAGGACAATGCACGTCTCACTGAGCTCATTTCATGGTAAATTTCCCCCCATTACTCATCCCCCACTTATATCTTGTCCAATCTTTCTTACATTTCCTTACAATACTCAATATCAGCTTTACACTGTAACTACACATCCACACAAACCTCACACCTTAACTATCTAAGTAATTACATCTCATTTGAAGATGTCTTGACTTAAAACGAAACGACAAACGTCACTTGCTTTGTTTTAATAAATATCAAAGAAATCGAACGCTTATGGTTATCTTTGAAACGATCTGTTGGACTCTAACCTTTAGGTTGATAATTCAATAAAAATTCTTTAATATTTCAAACATGTTACCTTGTTCAGTACATAAAACACTGTCTAATTCTTGTTGATCAACGTTATCAAAGTCGTCGTCGGCGCTCATGATTCACTGTATAAAGAAAAAAACGTCAAACTAGATTAATTGGTCAATTTTGACTTCAAAATATCATTTAATTTCAATAAACATCGACTACAAATCATCTAGAGTTGCAACTACGTAATAAGTACCGTGCTTATAGCCATGCATTAAAGTCAATAACGAGCATAATTTCTGTTCAACGAGAATGATCATGACGAAGTAAGAGATTGCGAACTATACAATATCACATGTGCAAATGCGTCATTATGTCGTAACAAAACGCCATCATTCTTTGCGGACGCAGACATGATGCATAATAAAAGTGAAAGCCGTTAAGGAGAGTAGCTTTTTGTCATTTCTCAAATAAATATGTTGACTGATGACTCTAAGCGATAAAATATAATGCAGTCTACTGCTGTCGACACCTTAAGAATAAAATTGAATTTCAACAGATAAATTTTCACAAACTCTTTCGATTTTTGAAATAGAATTTGCCAACAACCATCATGCATAGCGCGCGTTTGTTCATTTCACATCAAAACAATTGTAGAATCACATATATCAACTATTGTTACTTAAAAAACGAATATCAAAAATTCATCAAACATTGCAGTGATTAGTAAAACGAAACATGTAAAAATAAATTCAAATTTGGGAAGTGTTATGTCCCAACATTTCTAGGAGGGAATGTTTATTAAATGATTTTTATCAACTGTCGAAGACTCGAAGATATTTCGATCTTGTGGAAGCTGCTTTTAGTTAACCTCTTAATCACAAGCAGTAACTAACGATGATTTACATTGACTAGTCTTTGAGATCGCATGTAATTTTACATTTCTTACAATCATTCATACAATTTATCAAACTTTTAGCAACATATAGATAGCGAATGTTCACGGAAATAATCTTAACAATCTGTGACAAACTGGAATTCAAATTCAGGAGTTCGTTCCCATGTACTTTACTTATGTCACTGAAATTCTAACAACAAATACTTAATACATGATATTTACCTTTTGATGAAAATGCTTTGTACAATTTTATCGAAATTTTCGTAAGGCGTCTTCTCCAATGAATACGATGACTAGAAAATGAAAGTATTGATCTCAGGAAGAATATCATATGATCTCTGTGTGACTAGAAATACTATATGATTAAATATCATGTGTATAAACTCACGCTAATTAACCTAATTTCTTTCAATAAGTGAAGAAAATTAGTCAATTTGATAAAAGAATTTTTGGTTTCACAAGAATTATTCCACAATATACAGCATAAGACTTCAGTAGAGAAACTTTTTATTTCACAGTAAATGCTACACGCAAGAAAATACTGGATATTAAAAGTGCTAATTTAATAGTCAATTGGTAAACTCAGTTCAACTGTACTACAGATTTGTTTCGCTAAAAAATGAGGGAGTTAAAATGTTTCCGACAGGGGTGTGCAATTTATTTTTGGGAGTTAAATCTAAAGTTTGTGAGCCACACCCTGTACCCTCCTCAGTAAATCTCTCCATGTTTTATAGTGGTTATCTAATCAATGGCAGGAGACATGGTAAAGCTGTAATGGAGAAAGTTCTTTAAAATACTTTTGTTTTCTTGGATTACAGTAAATCACTCTACAAATGTTGGATAAAGAACAATTTTTCGTTGAAAGAAAACTTACATCGTCGATAGGGAAACAATTCTTATACTAATTCTTCCTAAGTTAAAATGGGAATAATAGTATATATCAATAAATGAGTGATTCTTTTACTTTTATTGCCAATTCGTAATAGTTAAATTTTAACGTTGCCAACAAATAGCGACACTCTTTTTTAAGCAACATTTTTCAATGATGAAAGTTCAACGTACACCATGTCATGAAGAAATTTATATTGCATACGAATGAACGTAAGTTGTGATCTAAACATGTTTTTGCTCAATAACCACATACCCAGAACTACATACGTTGTCTGTGAATTTTAGATAGGTGTGCTAAATATACAATGAAAAATATTAGCTACATGAAAACTTTTCAAAGAACGTGAAATTAGCACGATAATTAATATCTCACTGTTGGTCATATATAAGTAGCTAACGGTTTAAACTTGTACATAGCTACATAGTATCTCTTGTAATTGTTGGCAGTATTGAGCACATGCTCTGTTCTTCAGAGAAAAAATCCCAGTCTGCTTTCAAGACATCTATCAACGGGCTATGCTAATTTTGTAGAACTCATTTCTTTAGAAAATGTCAAACGTTCGCCACTCGTCAGTTTGTACATTATAAATTTCTTACAAATTTGTTATTTTTACATACCATCTTCAGAATATTCACTGTCTTTGCCATATGATTCAGCAGTCTTTAGTTCATTCGCTTCATTTTAAAATTCTTGAGTAAAGAAATTTCGTTTTAAAGAGTTTCAGCAAGAGAGACATGTGCTAAAGCACAATATTTATACATGTGAAAGACAATAAAAATGTAATTTCTCAAGACAGTGATAATGTGACAAATATTGTATTCATTTGATTTACTAGTTAGAGCAATAATTAGCAATTGGGAATAATGTGTAGTTTTGACAAACCATAGAGGAAGATGTGGCACTGGAATTTTCTTCGGTCAGTCTTACTTAAGTGAATTATCTTAAATGAAATTTTTTTTATTACTTTGTGGATGCTTGGTTTATTGTAATAGTGTGCTTTTATGTCAGGGACTTAGGAACTGAAACACTTTTCCCTACAACTGAACAATCTTGATGCATAACAATTTAAATATGAATGAATTATGTAAGAAAGCGACTTGTTTGAAAACATCTGTTTGGAGTATACATTTTTTCATACAGTGGTTATTTTTGGCAATTGTGTGGTAATGTCGCAAAAATTCAAAATATAAATACTGTTTAAGTGACCTTTACTGAAAAGTCCACCAATATTCACTAGACATGGTCACCTTTTCCAAGATTGAAATTTGACTTTTCATTATTCAAAACTGTATTAAATGGTCGGGTGAATTAAAAACCCAACACATATAACAATTAGGCATTTAAAATAAACGACAACTTTTTTATTATAAACATCAACTTACATTAATTCAACTTCAGTAGACTGGAAAGTTGAAACATGTTTATAATAAAAAGTTTTATCGTTTATTTTAAATCTTTAATTACTCTGGTGCTTTTGAGATCATACATACATACATATAACAATTTATAAAACCAACACATACAGTGTTTTGTGAAGAAGCAAAAAATGCCATGTTCCAACAGATATTTCAGAATGCAATTAGTAAGAGATGTTGTGTGACTGGTAACTTTATAATAAGTCTCAAAGTATTTCAAAGTTTTGAAAAATATAATTGTATTGGACATTAATTTGATTAAAGCCAAACTGAGGTTGTTGCTTTTGTTTAAATATATTACTACCATTATGTTCAAAGATGTCTTTTCTCATTAAACACATAAACGAATGCAGCATTGATAAATTAAAATTTAAAATAAAATTAATAAAAAAAACAAATGTGTTGCCTTTTTGGTCCTTCTCAACAAAACACCAATAACAATGACTACATTCTACAGCATAATTCATAAAATGTTCAAAATTACTGTTTCATTTATGACCAAATATAAAATAAAATGCACTCGCCAGATAATTTTGTTCAAAATCTATGATATAAATCATTAAAAAACTTTACTTACCACTGTACGTTTTACAGACATTAATGACGATGTGTTTACGGAATCATGAAGCATGCGACGTTTGAAAATTGCATCGCTCGCGCGCACATTCTGACGATTTCTTTTCTCTTTCATTTCATAAATTTCATCCAAACATATAATTTTTTCATAACTCATACAACCAAACAACCACATAAACGATGACAAAAACGCAAGACTAATGAAGAAAAGTTAAATCACGTTTTTGTACGACTACTTCCGCTTGCATGAGCACCAAGACTATTTGCTTTGTAAGGGAGGGAGAGGGAGGTGATATGTTGCAAATGTTTTGGGCTAATGATATTCTTTATCAGTTGATGGTTGCATGTGAAAAGAGCGAAGTTTTTCGATGTGTACTTTCTGATAATAACTCATACAATACAGATCCTATAACAAAAGAAAAGGTATAGTCATTTTTTAATCTCATGGTTTACCACAGACCACAGGTACTAGGGCTTCTTTATTTGAAAGTTGGTGCTACAGTTGATGAAATTAATAGAAAAGATTTGTTTAGTTTTGTAACACGCTCTCCATTAATTTATCTCATTTCCTCATTATTCTTATAATGCATGAGTCAATTCCATGAGTTACCACACCCCCGGGATACCCCTGGGCATTTGCCCTGGAGACCTTTCTCGGGGGTCGGGAATTTGCTCGTAAAATGGATGCTCGGGATTCGGGTATTTACTTCGGCTGTAATACCCCCGAAGATTTGGCACCATTTGAGTACGCGAGTCGCGACTATTGATTTCAATTAAACGCGACATTAAGTACCGATTCCCATCTCTTTGTATCCAGACGGACCATCGTGTAGTTTTTTTTCCTTACCCAGTTGCTGATGCAGAGACCTTGCGGAAGGAAGATTGCAAAACATGCACGTGAGTTTGCTATGGGCATTATGTCACCGATGTGTCAGAGCTGCTAAATTTATATGCAGTAGGCAAAGCTATAAGGAGCCCGCCGCCGTCTGAAATACTGGCAGACTTTCACAAGAATTACAGTGGTGGATGTGTAGAGGATACTGACATAAGCATGCTTGCCAAGAAATGTTTGCTGTCAACCGAGGATGTTAAATTGTGGTTTCAGTACTTGACGCTTGACGCAATTTCTGTGAACAGGAAAAGAGGTGCTTGAAAAGCAAAAGCAACAAGAGAAAAGCGGAGCAAGGGAAAGTAACTCAGGTACGAATTTCTTTTACTACATTTATTTTTTGTAGGATCTCTCATATATCTTGTTTAATAAAGTATTAAAAAGTGTTCCTAATCTTCGTAATTTAAATTAAATTGGTCCGGGAGCAGGGCATTTGCCGTTGGCAGCTTGCCGGGGGCCGAGTATTTGCCTTCTTGCCTCTCCCCGGCAGCGGGGAAATTGAACTATTAAAACGAAAAAAATCAAATGCCCGACCAAATTCCCGGGGGAGGGATGGTAACTCTTGGAATCGATTTATGCATAAATGTAGATCGTCCAGGTTGGTATAGTCCCGAGAAGGACTGTTTTTGTTGTTGTTGACTGACGTTTCGACAACCTTAGCGATAGTCATCTTCAGAGTCAAAATTCTATTTATGGCCGAAACAGAAGTCGGCCCTTCCATAGCATCCGGCAACCAAGTATGTAACACTAATTGAGCAGATTTTCCTACAGCCCTTATAGTTAATAATATACAAATCCAAATACAAGCTGAAGATGGTGATAAAGCCGGAAATAAACTACAGTAATCTACTGCCCCAAATTTTTTCCAGATTAATATAATAGCCAGCATTAATCCTATGTCTCCTATTCTATTGATTAACATTGCTTTAATTGCCGCCTTATTAGCTTGTATGCGTGTAAACCAAAAGTAGATTAATAAATAAGAAGATAAACCAACATCCTCCCAACCAATAAATAATTGCACATAATTATTACTAGTAATTAAAATTAACATAAAAAAGGAAAAGACAGATAACTCATAAACCTAGGTAAGTGGGGATCTTCTCACATATAACTTGTAGAATACACATGAACTAACCCGCTAATTGCTGTAACTACAATTAACATTTGTTACAATTAACAGCTGTTACCATATCAAATTGTAGGCCAAAGCTAGTTATTAGTAAATATGACTCTATCCATCTGCCTAACTCTATATATACTGTAGACCCATTAATCAGGATTTCATAACATAACACAAAAGAAAGGAGACTACTGACGAGAACCCACACAGAACTTAACAAGCCAGCCCCCTTTCTTCCTAAATAGCGACCCCCTAATCCGCTTCCGACTGCGCTTAGTAATGGTATTAATATAACTAGAAGATACATTGGAATAAATCTAAGATAATCAAGTGTACTAATTGAAAGAATAAACTAGGACATAATTGTTAACACTAAATATAATTGTTAAATTTACACTAAATATAAACTTGCCCCCATTAATATTGCTTGCCTAAACTTGTTTCCTCTGGTGTTACATTGCCACATGGAGAATTTAATATATTTGTTATTACTAAAGGCGTAGACAAAGGTTGATAGAACATAATTTTTACTAATCTAATGTAATAAACTCCAGCTATCACAGAACAAACTAAAGCTAGTAAAGCACTGAGATAGTAACCTTGACCAACAACTGCTAAATTACATACCATTTGGTTAGAAACGCAATTAAAGGAGGAATTCCTGCAGTAGACAATAAACCTGTAGCTAATGCTAATGCTAACATTGGGTTTAATCTTGAAACACCACCAAATTCAATAAGCATGTTTCTTTCAGGGGATATTATTAGGACTCCAGACCAAAGTAATACTTGAGTTATTATGTAAGCATCTATATACATTAAACTCACCTGAAGACTTTCTATAGACCCAATAGCTATTCCAAGTAACACGAACCCCATATGGCCTATTCCGCTATAAGCTAGTAGTCTTTTTATTCGAGTTTGATTCAAAGCTCCTATAGCTCCAACAATCAAAGAGATTAACCCAGCTATTAATAGCCCCATTTCATTTAAGCCTATTTGTACCATAATAGCTAGTACTCCTAATTTAGGTGCAATAGATAATAGCGCAGCTACCCAAGTTGGAGCTCTTTTGTATACATTGGGGGCCCACATATGAAATTTGGCTGCAGACACTTTAAATTACAATGAGATAGTAATAAGACGCTTACCAGCTAATACACCATAGATTCTAAACTCATACGAATAAATTGAAGTTCAAGTTCTCCTGTGGAGCCATAGATTAAAGCACAACCAAACAGAAACAACCCCGAAAATAGTGCCCCTAACACAAAGTATTTATGGCCAGCTTCTGCCGATAACAATGAGCTTTTATTATAAGCCACTAAGATAAACATACATAATGTTGCATCTCTAATGCCAAATATATAGAAATTAAATTTGTTGACCCTATAAGTAGTAAATTACTTAAGATCACTAATAAAATCAATAAAGAGCTTAATCGATGCGATGTTTGATGGTCAAGCATACATAGTATAGCTAATCCACTTATCATCACCAACATTTTAATAGCCTGTGTCCAACATAGTAGATGGGGTTCAGTTAATAACTCAGTAGCCCCCACAACCCCCGCAAGTAGTAGAGCTAATCTTAAAGTCGGGGCTTTTAATCCATATGTCAACATTGTTAATATAATGAGCCCTAGTGTTAATTCCATAATATGCCAGAGGCGATGCACCCACATGGCATATGACTTGTTAATCCCTAAACCTTTTGTTTTCCTTCTTTGCAGCAGCCAGAAGTTGATTACGTCGATGGGGGCAATATAGTTGAGCATCGCTGAGACCATTCATTGCGTACTAGGACTCAGAAAAGTTGGGATTGATTATTGTAGATAGAAACCGTACTGTGTCACCACGCTCTGAACTCAAATCATGTACGGTTTTCATGGTCGAACAGACCAACCTAAGGTACCTTCTACAGCACCAGGGCACCGCAATTCAACATTGAGGTCGCAAACATTGTCCTCGATAAGAACTCTCCGACAATATTACGCTGTTATCCCTACGGTAGCTTTTATCCGCTTTCGATATTTATTTTGGACTATGATATCGGGTCATTATCGCCCACATAGGACTATGTATTTGTGCCAGCTAGGGGTGTCCCCCTCACTGTCAGGCTAATGAGATCAGCTTTTATACCAATAAGCTCGCCTTCGTTTCTTATTCAAAGGTAGTCGCCCCAACTAAACTGTCTTACCAACAAAATTACTTACTCAAAATTAGGATACTTGTATCGATCATTTTTAGTAAACGTTATTGGTATCCAGTAAAGCTCGATAGAGTCTTTTCGTCTTGCAATGATTATCTTCACTACAACTATAATTTCATCGGCTTTCTTCTTGAGACAGTAATACCCTTGTGGTTCCATTCATACCCGCCAACAATTAATTGGCTGTTTATTGTGCTACATTATCACGGTCAGAGTTATCGCGGCCATTCAGTTGGGTTTCGCTTTAGACGTTAGTCCTTAGTTTCACTATGCAACCATTGGGCAGAATTTACCCTCTATACTTCAGTAACTTTTAGCAGAGAGCTATGTTTTTGGTAAACAGTCGAGATCTTATTTTGCCGAGTTCCTTAAGAGAAATTATGCCTTGATCTAAGTCCAATAATAACAGTTGAAGGTACAAAGTACCATAATATTTTCCTGAACAAGTACAAGAATTATAATTCATCAGGCGTGATACCCTTAGAAGCTGTATATAGATTTATTTGGGAGTGAATCTTGTACTACTCATGCCCGCATTATCACTTCTGTTTGTCTCACGAAGTATGCACATATCGTGCTTACAGAACGCTCTACTAACAAGCCAGTTGCTTCCTTATGGTCTGACTTCCAAAATTTTAGTTACAGATTTAGCCGCCTTGATTTTTAGAGTTTTCTAGCTCATTCAGTGAACTTTTACGTTTTCCTGTACAGATGGCTCTTTCCAAGCCTATTTACTGTTTGTCTAAGTTGAACCCTCTCTATACACTTAATTTTAATTTCTAGTGACTTTAATTTCTGGTTAGGGCTTAGCTCTTTTGACTAGAAGCCTTATCGCTATATTCTTACTGCACCAGTAATTCAAGCCCCCGGTTTTTGGGGCGAATCAACTTGGGGCGCCTTACTAAGATAAGTTTCGTAGAGAACCAGCTATATCCAAGTTCGACTAGTATTTCACCGCTAACCACAGCTCATCCAAGATTTTTGCCACAAATACTGGTTCGGTCAGCAAATAGCTACCTGGCCATGGTTAGATCACTTGGTTTCGGGAAATTTGACTTACGATTTTTTTTCTCTTGCTTTCACTATGCCTTCATTAATACTTAAGCTTGCCAAATTTTGACTTGCAGGCCCATTATGCAAAAGGTAACTTTTAGAACAAATTCTGCGTCTTTGCCTCGCGGTATTTTCTCTATAGATTTCTATCGGGGTTTAGTCTAGATGTCCAATCATCTTAATTATCTGTTTTTGAGACAACTCCGCTATCGCACGCCGCTACGCACGGAATCTCAGTTGATGTATTCCTCATAGTCTAATAAGATGTTTCAATTAACTATTCAATTTACCCTTTTCAGTTAGGATAAAGAAGTTCAAAGTATCTCCCTAGTTATTTCGTGTTTACGTCCTTACAGATAGACCCTAGACTTTACTCAGTTCCACTGTCTAAGACTCATTAAGATAAACCCAATATAATTTCTTATGTCCTGGTGTTTTCTTCCAACCTAAAATAGAAATTTTATTCCTATGTATATCTAAATGACAGCTTGAGCAAACTGGCACTAAGTTTGACCTTCGATTTAATCTTCTACTACCTAATTTCTTAGGTTGAATGTGGTGGTTAGCCTCCGCTGGAGCTCCGCATATTTTTTTCATGAATCAATAAAAACTTGAGTATTAAATTTTGAAGGCGGAATACTGCTAAAGAGCTTGCTCCACTTCGAGATGGTTGTTTCCAGTTAATAAGTTTACGATATTTTAAAGCACTGTTATAAAATTTTTTGTCATTATTTATGTGGCCCATAACTTCATTGCCATATTGGGAAGGTCCTGGGCCAAGTTTTAATTTACGTTCATAAATTAGGCCCAAATCTTCGTGTTGAATAACAGATAAATGATAGAACCGAGCTGGTGAATCAATTAAAGAATAAAATTGGTGTAAATGAGTTGAAAGAGCAAAACTATTTTGTGCAGTTGTTAATCTTTCAATTGTTGCAGCTAATATCGCTGTTCCTGAACTAACTTCTGTTCCATGACAAATTTCATCACCTAAAATTGAACTGTTATAATTAGCTAGCTTTAACATAGTTGAAAGATCTCTCATTTCGACCTCAAAAGTACCATGGCCTTTATGAAGATCATCTCTCCCTAAAATACGAGTAATTAAATAATGATAAGGTCTTAACCTAAATGAATCTGCAGCTACATATATTCCTGCTTGAGCTAATTTTACGTTGACTCCAATTGCTTTAAGTAAAGTGGATTTACCTGCACCATTTACTGAGAATATTAACATTCCTTTATCTTCTAGACTTATATTATGAGCCACACATTCTTCTTGAGTGTTTAACTGTTCTACTAATGGATGTCGTAAATTAATTGTTTCAATTAGACCCTTGGATTGTTGGGATTTTGTTGGTGTCAAAAAATGTTTAGTATAATTAAATTTAATAGCCGCGATAGCTCCGCTTAGTGCAATATCTATTCTAGAAATCATATTTTCTAAAGGCGAAAATAACTCAAAATAAATAAAATATAATCTTTTAAGTTCTCGTTTATAAGTCTGTTTTGCATAAACATTAATCTGCTCTTCTAACAAATTTAATTCGATTGACACTTTGTTGATGGTGGGGCTAGTAACTATAAGGTAGTTTTTTCTTTTGCCCAACACAATAATTGATATAACAGATATAGAGGCACTAGTCATGTAATGCTTTAACTTAGTTAAATTTTTAGATGAAATAGAGAAAGCATGATCCTCTTTATTAAAATAACAAACTTTAATAGAAATTGTATCTTGAAACACAATGTGTGAAGTCTGCTCGGCCCACTTTGTGAGTTGGGCCCTTAAAGTTTGTTGTTGTGAAAGAAGCTTGGTTAGATTATCAGATGGTTGTAATACATCTTTAAAAACGCCTAGAGTATTATCAACCTAGAAAATTAGACCTATTGCTTTGATTAACAATACTAATTGAGGCTTAATTGAGGGGGGTAATTGAATATTATTTATGAATTTGTTTATTAATTGATTAGCAAATAAATAAGAATGATAAATTTGACTAAGATTTTAGGTGGTAAGATGATATCACTTGAAGCAGATATTGCCCATTGACGGTGTAGAGAAGATAAATCTTTAATTTGTCTTAACTCGGAATTGTCAAAGATTTTCTCGCTAATTAATTGTTTAAATGTAGCAAAATCTTCATAACGAAAATTTAATTCAGAATAATTTGTAATAGGATTAAGAAGTCTGAATTTTAGTAGTTTTTTACCCATTGCAGTAGAACAATAATAATAATAACTCGGCTTGAGAGTATGCTTGTTGTCTACTAGGGGTGTTAGGGTCATGCCAAAGTTCATAGAACTTACCAATTTGAATAAGCTGGATGACTGATAATCCATGCTTAGAAAAATTCTCCTCTGCTAAGTTAAAATATTGCATAGGTATCTGATTAATTTTAATTTAGGCTTAACCTCTCAATAAATTTAAGGCTCGAACAGCAATTTTACCACGTAAACGATAATAGTTAACCATAATAGCTAAACCAAAGGCAGATTCTGCAGCTGCAATAGTTAAAATTACTATCGCAAAAATTTGACCAAAAAGCGCATAGAGCACACGAGATTCAAATGGAAGTAAAATAGTAGAAGCCAGTAAAACTAGCTCTACACACATTAACATAATAATTAAATTACTTCTATTAAGAATAATACCTAATATTCCGATTAATAAGATGATAATTGATAACACTAAATAATTCATGCGCCAATACTAATTAGAAGCTAGTTTCCTACTCTAAACCTCCTTCTATCCATTCATAAATTAACCCTAAAGTTAAGATAAATAAAAATAACATAAAACCCAATATCCAAATAAAGGTAAGCCCATATATGTAACAGCCCAAGGAAACAAAAAACATATCTCTAGATCAAATATTAAGAACAAGATACCAATTAAGAAAAATCAAACGGAGAAGGGATTTCCGGATTATCAAAATGGACAAATCCACATAGAGCGGTAGTCATCCACAACCTTAGCGGTGGTAGTCATCTTCAGAGCCAAACTACGAGTAAACGCCAGGTTAGCACTAATTCACAATGACAATACACATTTCCTTTACACACAATACAATGACGTAAGAACCAGATAACAAGTACGGCTAACCTGACGTTTACTCCTCATTTTACTCTGAACATGACTACCGCTAAGGTTGTCGGAACGTCAGTCAACAACAACAAAAACAGTCCTTTTCAGGACTATACCAACCTGGACGATCTACATTTACAAACATGTAACCATACTCCAGGGTTCAAACCATATAGTTTAATATATTCTTTGCCTTTTAATTTCCTTTTGAAGTTCTTTCGTACGTTTCTTAGTTTTCTCAGCAGCATGTTCATTTGTACAGTTTTTTGTAGTGTTGATTCTGGTTCTCTAAGAAGAAGGTCACGAAGACGGTTATCCTTAAGTCCACATATTATAATGTCACAGATGAGATCATCTCGAAGTATTTTAAACTTGCATTCTGCACTACGCTCATTCATACTAAAGTTTGATTTTGACGTAGGCATTTCTATCTGTTATAAATATGCCTGCGTTAACAATTTAAGGTATAGTAGTAATATATGAAATGTTATACACCAACTTCCAGAAACTACACCAGCTGTCCCACTCAGTTTCGGTTGGGTAAAATTAGACCACGTGCTGGAAAACGTGGAGATCCAATTGATTTTCCTCTTGTAAATGTCCTAAAAACTTTTTCTATCTTAAAAACCAACATGGAATAATTTTTTCAAATGTATATATTTGGATTTTTATTTTAGAATTTTTATTAAGCTTTCAACTCGGTGCTTCGAACCTTCGTCGGAATGGAAGAATATATTATTTACAAAGATTCTGTAGGCGTTTGGAGCGTCTGATTGGTTGGTTAGTAGTTGTGTTGATATTATTGGATGGTATAAGATGCGTTGTCATGGTTTCGGGTGTATGGATTGCGTTAGTGAAATTCGAGTGTTTTATTTTAGTCGTTGTGTTATTAGTTTGTTGTTTTGGTTTTGTCTTTAGTTGTGAATAGATGATGGGGATGTCAATATGTTTGTTTATTGTGTTGTTGTCTTTGCTCTACCATGCCTCTTTGAATTCTCGTGCGTGTTTTGTCTGTGCGCGTCCAAGAAGTTGAGTTTTTGTCCAGTCATATGTGTGGTTTGTATCGTAGGTATGTTCTGCTGGTAGTGATTTTGGGTCGCGTCGTTTGATGGCATTCTTGTGTTCAGTGAGTCTTTTTTCTATTTTCTTGGATGTTTGTGTTATGTACTGTTTGGGGCAATCTTTACATGGTATCATGTAGATCGCGTTGGTTGTGTCAAATGTCGTTGTTCGGTCTTTATGTTTAGTGAAGTATGATTTGAGTTTGTGTGTTGGTTTATGTGCAATGTTTATTTTGAATGGTCGAAGTAGTCTTGATATCATTTCTGATGTTCCATTTATATATGGTAATGTCTCTATTTTTACTGGTTCGTCTGTATCTTCGTTAGGTTTTTCAGTTTGTGGTTTGTTGTGTATTTTGTTTAATACTTTGTTGATAAAGTTTCGTGGGTGATTGTTGTTTATGAATGCAGAGTATAAGTAGTTGCGTTCATTCTTCTTGGCTTCTTCTGTACTGCAGTGTGTTTTAATCCTGTTAAAGAGAGTTTGTATGCAACTAATTTTGTGTTGTGTTGGGTGATTGCTATTGAAGTTGAGTATTTGGTCTGTGTGTGTATTTTTGCGGAATACTTGTGTGTTTTATGTGCCGTCATGTGATCTGGTAAGTAGAATATCTAGGAAGGTAAGTTGTTTGTTCTGTTCTTTGTCCATGATGAAGGTTATGTTTTGTATGGTGTTGTTTATTGTGTGTAGAATGTGTTCTGTTTTGTCTTTTTCGACGGTAGCAAAGATGTCGTCAACAACTCTTCTCCATAGTCTGATGTGTGTTTTGTTGGTGACTGACTGCTTTTCAAGGTGTTGCAAAGCAGCTTCTGCGAGGAAGGTAAATAAAGGAGAGCCCATTGGTGCTCCTGAGATTTGTCACTAATATGAATTTTGGAAGGAGAATTCAGTGGAGAGGCAGAGCTCGAGCAGGTCGATGATATCGTTTTGGTCTAGTTCGGTTGTGATTTTCCATGAGTTGTTGTTAGTAAGTAGTTTATTTGTGACTTGTTTGGCTATGTTTAGTGGTATGGATGTGAAAAGTGACACTACATCGTAAGATATCATGATTTCGTCTGGTTTTAGTTTTACATTTTTAATATTGGTGAGGAAAGTTGTGGCATTTTTGATAGTATGATGTGATGATTTGACTAGTGGGTGCAGAATATTAGAAAGATATTTTGATAGTTCATACGTAGGAGATCCAGGAAGAGATACAATTGGTCGAAGCGGGTTGTTTTCTTTGTGAATCTTTGGTAGTCCATAAAATTTCGCGGTGGAGGAGTCGTTGGATCGGATTCTTTTGTAGACGGTTTCGTTAAGTTTCTTTTTGTCTTTTAGTTGTTTTAATTTCTTGTTAATGCGGTTGGTAGTGGTTTTGTTGAGTCTGTTTGTAGAGGTTCATACGTGTTGGTGTCTTGTTAGAAGGTCTTCGCTTTGTTGATAAAGTCTGATTTGTCCATGATTACAGTTTTGCGTCCTTTGTTGGCTGGTAGTATGACTATGTCTTCGTCGTTTCGTACGTTTCTGATAGCTTTTTGTTCTTCGTTGTTAAGTGTGACTGGTCTTTTGAGGCAGAAGTTTGTCGTTACTTTGTGGCGAATGTATTGTAACATGTTTTTTGGGGAGGACACCCTGTATGCTTTATATACACAATTTGTATAGCAATGTACCCTCCTGTGCAATGGTGGATCAGGGCTGTGGAGTAGAACAGACGGTTACACATTGTTGCTGTTTTACACTAGAGTTTCCAGAGTGCTAAAACTTGTAGAAATATTCCTTCGACTGTTATGTTAATGAGGACAATATTCATAAGACATCGCTACAAGCAGTGTGTGAGATAAAGGTGTACACAGTGCAATTTGCACATCGTTTTAGCTAAAATGAACACAATTGCACATCACTTTTTAAAACGATATGCAAAAAACTGATTACCACCACATGAATTGAAAAAAGTTTCCAAGCTTATTCTTTACTAATCTTTACTTTACAAACGAGTGCGCTGCACGACATTAAAATCAATGTTGGCACAATGTCATCAAATTCAAAGACGTTGTCACTTTGAGACTGTGAAGTCTGTCAAGAATCAACATACATGGTGCTTATATTCTTATGACAATACATTATTCATGTCAAATTTTGCATTTGCGTTGTTTTGTAAACCGTTACGTAGTGTTTTTGGCATCATAGCTATTTTGAGTATTTTCAGTAAAATCAGGAAACATTTTGAAAGAAAACAAAAAAAAACTTAAATATGCCAAATTTGAAATATAAACCAAAACGACTTTTGATTTTAAATAAGCCTAATGTGAGAAAAAGAAGCCAAATCTGGTTCAAAACATTAAGCCAAACTGGCAACCTTGATCAGTCATTCTTTTTGCTTTTACCTCAAACTGGTACGAAAGTCCTGAAATCAGGACTAACAATACAATTTTAATTAATTATAGACACAATAAAATAAATCACATGGTGTTCAGGAGGCTTATCAAAAAATAAAAATGTTGCTTTTCCTTCAAGACTGAAGTGGTTTTGTGATATCTTTTAATTTCAATCGAAGGCCTGTTTCAAACGTCAAACTTTACACGCACCGAACGCATTAAAGACAAAAGAAAATGAAATGAGTTTCCTCATTATCTTTTGTTTTAAATGCGTTCGGTTCATCTAAAGTTTGACGTTTGAACTAGGCCTAAAAAACATCAAACACTTTTAAGTTCTACGTACGTTCTTTTGTTGTTTTCTCATAACTTTCATCTCTAAAGATAGCTCCTGTCAACATGTCCGAGTCTTATTAATCATAATTACATATTAAACTATTAAGTCATTAGTATAAAGTATCTGTTTGAAACAACTTTAATGTAAGAAAATTGATAAGATTCTACGTGTAGAAGAAGTATTTGTAGCTGATAATCTCACCTTGTAAACCATTCTTTTGGTACATATATACATTATACGGGGTGTTCCCAAAAAAGAACAAATACAGGATGACTAGAGCCATAGAAATAGACCAAAAAAATATATTTCTTGGTGTAAAATTCAACTTATTCTGAAAATTTAATTCCTCATCACCACGTCCCACTGATGTATTTTTCTGAACTAAATTCTTAGAGACTAACGATGTGCATGAAAGTCGTTTGATTTAGATTTGGAAACCTGCATACCATTCAAATCGGCAAATCAACTTTCGAATTATGTCTATTTATACAATTAGTTGTATTGTCATATAGGTGCTGTGTATAGTAATTGCGATTGGTTCATTAGTAGTCACATGACTTGAAATAAATGCACGGTTTCCTGCCAGGAAAACAAGTGAAAATGTGTTGTCCCCTCATTTTAATATCATAACGAATAAAACAGCCACCAAACCGAAAACTGAAAAACGTTTCTCGAGCTAATTAGGCGACAAAAATCAACTATTAATAAAAAAGAATTAAGAAAACACTGGGAAGTCAACCTAAATTGCTGTGGTCAATCATAGCATTTTGCAACAAAATTTTGCCGGCCAATCCCCCCACCCAAAAAGACATTGATTTTACTGAAAAGTTGTGGAAATTTATGATTTTTTCCCTATCTAACAAAACACTTAATGTGCTCTCTCTCAGGAAATAGTGATCCTAAATTCCCGAGAGTCGCAATATAGGTTTGGTGTAGTGGACAAATGTGAAAATTATTTAAGACACGATATATAGATCAACACACATATATTGTAACAATTTAGTAGGAAGCATATTTATACAACGATTATTTCCTACATTAACATACTAATATCATAAAACTGTGTTGATGCGTGCTACAAAACAAAGTTCAAAAAAACACCACGCAAAAAGAAAGTTTCTCTCTAAATAATTTTTTACAAGTGCTAAATGAATGAATCCCAACCAGTCTTTAAAATGGCAACTGTAATTGTTCTTTTTTGATAAAATGTGATTATTTTTCAACTTTCTTTACAAGATGACGGTTACCAACAAATAATGTTGCTGAATGTGAGTGAAAGTTATTATACAACTATTGAATGCTTATTTTAAAAATTGGTATTTTTTAATTCAAGATACGACACCTCCTTTTCTAAAGCACCAGTGATCTTCACATGGCAGTTGGCAAATTACTATTACTCTAAAAAATGGTGTTGAGATATGTGGGATTCATTTATTTAGCATTTAAAATTTAAAAATCAAAAGAAACTCTAGAAACGTAAAGAAAAAGTGCAGTAATGAAACGTCAGCATACAGTCAAGCTACTCGTAAACGGACATCCTACAGACCACGACCTAATGTCTGCTTAAGTGAGATGACCGTTTATGGGATGTTATGAAAGATATCTATTCACTATACTTAGATATGTACACAACAATATGAAATAAAGTTTAATGATCTAAAATTGTTCCTTACATAAAAATAAAACACAGTGGATACAGAAATATGACATCTTGAAAAAGAAAGACGTTGAAATTTTTCCATACTTTTCATTCCCATTATTTGATTTACTTCTTAGATGTTGAAGTTACTTTTGTAGTGAATGATTTGTTGATCATTTATATGAACTAAACTGATCACTTTCATTCTACAACCATCAATAGTTGATGTTTGCTTTGAATTTTCATGACGTGTTGCTGTTAAGATCATCATATCACAAATGTTATAGTGTCATTCAAGTACATATATATTTCAGAGCATGCGCAAAGGCAATCGAGTGTCATAATATTCACAATGACAGTGCGCTTGTATTAAGAAGCAGCTTGAACTATAGATGCAGCAAAAAATCTTTTAGCCATCTCCAATAGCCACAATGTAGTAAAATCCAATTCTTTTCATTAACTCTCATGATTACTTATGCGTTATGTTCATATCAAAACGTCCACATGAGATGATAATTTTCACGCTTCAGCTTTATAAAAACTGAACAAAGTGAACAGCCAGCTTCACTATTCTATAAATGTAAAAGTTCATATCTTCCAATTTTGACAAATGATATTTCAAAGAACACGTGACCTGGGTGACGTTACAAGTACAACAATAAATCCACAGAGAATCATGGTACATAAATTTGTCCTTTCTTTCATTACGTCACTTCCTGAAATAAATCTTCTCCTTCTTGTATAATCGTTTGAATTAAGAGTAGACGATGGAATTTTATAGCCAAGCCATAAACATATCAAACTTTGGCAAAGTAACTTCCATAAAGTATCGATTCACAAAGTAAAAGTGTTCAAACTTTAACAATGCTTGATATCGATTTTTCATAAGTTTCAAAGTTAAAAACTTGTCATTAAACATCTTTCCATTTGCGACATTGTCGTTTGTTTCTGTCTCTGTATATAGCAAAACTTTCTTTGACTTTAGTTAACTTTTCATGTTCATACAGTAATACATGGTTTGGAGTGTTCCATCTCAATGGTTAAATTGTTTATCACGATGATGAACGTCAATCATAAGTCATTTTCTTGTCGAGTTTACGATTTACTTTTTAACAGTCAGTGAGAAAGACAGCCAAATTTTTAGTTTTTCTTGAAAAAATTAGCAAAGGTACCACTGTTTTATTGTAAATTTACGTTTTTCAAATTGATAAAGATGAAAATATTCATATAACCGAAGTAACAATTGGGCTGTCTTTGTCTCTCTTAACAACTTAACACATAGATATTTTGTATATAAAAATGCAATGATTAAAAAGTATTAAGAAATTATTTCAGTGCAAGATAGTATTGATTTTATTAGTAAAAACTTGTTTTTGGTGTAAAAGAGCATCGAAAAACGTGCAATTTTAAAGCCATCCTACACTGAATACATTTGCATGAAAATTATATGTTTACATGGTGTAGATATAAACAAAATATGACCTATGGTACAATAACTAACAAAAGTTTGCATTTTACATGTTTGTGTGATAAGATAGGTCAATAAAATTATTTTCTTGCGCAAGGAAAATTATTATCTTAGACACGAAATAATTTGTGTTTATGGTTTGTCTTTATTGTCATTGAATTTTAATCTTTGATTAACTTCAGATTTTAAACATGATCTCTCTCAATGTTGACATTATCGTACACTGCGGTCTCTGTACAGAACAATCAAAATTAGACAAAGGGCGTTTTATGAAATTATACGCAAACAGACATTAATTGAAATGTCAACAATGATAGGGTTCATGCATAAAAACTGAACAAGATTTTCTTAAAAGTAATATAATCATTATCCAAAATGGTGAGAAATTTTATCATTAAAGATCAAATTTATGCTCGTGGCAAGATGATTTTTACGCATTGTACCGGTACCTCGAAGAAAGAAAAATTTAAAGCAAGTTTGCGTTTACGACAGTAATAAAAATTGCTTGGAAACATCCTCACAAGAGGAAAAAGTAATTCTACAGTCTTAAAATCTTTCAAATCAATCAAATCTAAGTCCTTAATAATTATATACCTATCATCAACAAAGAAAAACTTTAAACCCCAAGAATCCTCCAAAAATCTATGAATAATTTGTTTGGTTTTAACGTCAAATACTGTCATAAACTTACCCACGTATCTTATTAATAATTTATCTGCTGAAGGCGAAAAAGCAGCGTCAGTTATACAGTGAGTAGTATCACGCGTGTACTTTCCAACGTGTTTGTTCACGATGAAATTGGTGATTTCCTCCTTAATTACGTCACCCCAATCATCAACTTGTTTGTCTTCATGCCACATACAGTAAATTATCTGACCCTTAAATTCAACTTTAGCAAACATGTGATACTTAGAGCTACATGCAAATACGTCCACATTTCGATAATTTTCAAAATTCACTGATATTTCATTTCGCTTGTTTTCAACATTAAAAAATAAAAAAGAATCAGTTTTTTGACAAGCAAATGATACATCACTCACCTCAAAAATTTTGTTTGTACCTTTTAGTTCATCGAAACTATAAAAAAGTTTTGTCAAATCATCATTCCAAAGCTCAGGAGTATTTTTTTCCGTAAGCAAAATAACTCCATTTCGTACAGCAACCATGTCACTAAAAAAACATTCCTTGACAACAAAGTGAAATGTGTCGAGATTGTATATAATTACCCTTAAATTTTCTTTATTGCTCCGATACAGAAATTCTCCATTTGAGCAAAATTTATCGTCACGAATACTGTAACTGTTAGTTAAACATGCACGCGGTATTGAATAAAGATAAAAGTCATCTCCGTAATTAAACAAAATAACATTGTCGTTATTCAAAATAAAATAGAACTTTGGTACTCTATCCAAGGAAAAGATAGATCTGTTGCGATCGAAAGGATCAAGAGGTAAAAACGAATTTTGGGAAACAAGATCTAAGTCAGGAAGTTTCTCACCAGTGGGATTTACAATGAAATGCTTACTACTCCTATATAAACGATGGCAACAACGCCAAGAATGACGACCAACAGTGAACAAAACACCAAACTCACTTAAAGAATCAGACGGTAAATAATCGTCGTAAACGAATGTTTCATAATTATTTGCTACATCAAATATTTGAACCACTTTTCCTTTCTCAATAACACACAAATATCTTCCACAATTAGAAAAACACAGTGAGGTCACCACATCATTACATCTAATACTGCGTTTCTTCTCACCTTTCTCAACGTCCCATACTGTTAAAGTATCTTGGTAACTAGTGACCATTGTGCATTTATTCTGAGAAAAACATTTGTTGGTAAAGAACTTAGAAGTAGAATCATCAAAATGGAAAGGACTGGAGAAAATTTTACCATTAATATCTAGTATCTTATCAAGCTTGGAAGCAAAAATCAATTCTTCGAATGGATGAAAGATAACGCAAAACTCTTCCTCTTTATATTGCTTAAACTGACCAGCAATATTTTTAATCCATAAACATCTGTTTGTTCTCAATGAAAAAAGTTGCACGACGAGCCCAAGATAACCACACACGACGTAATCATGATTTCGTGAAACATCAACAGACTTTACAAATCCACTAAAATATAATAATCGAGCCTTTACAAAACCCGAGTCTCTCCACTCTAGATATGGTGAATCTTTGAAAAGTGTTTCAAGCATTGTGGTAGCTTGAGACGACAGATGTTTAATTTCGTTAGAAACGAGTAGCAAAAAATTTACTTCATCGTCAAACCACGTAAAGCGCGTCATTACAGAATAAACTTCATTAAATAACAATCGAATGTCCTCAGAAATAAGAAAGTACACATCATGTGCGTTGACTAATTGAAAATTTTCAAAAGTACGACTAGAGTCAACCAACATAGAAGCAACTATAACTTCCAAGTCAACAAGATATTTACCAACATTTTCAACGATATAATCATTATCGGAAATATCAAGTAAATGAAGCAACCAATACTTGACTGAATACCTCACTGTCACATGTTTAATGACGTCATAGTTTACGCCTTCAGCTTTGAGGTTATCCAAAGATTTTAAACAAAATTCCAAAACAAGTCGATTACCACAAGAAGTTTTTACTGAGTAATCATGTTTTCGATCATCCAACAACCAATCATTTAAGGATTTGTGAAAAAACGAAACACATCCTTCTTCATTGCTAACAAACAGACAAGAGATAATTTTTTTAACCCCACGTGATATGCGATTCGAATTCAAACAAAGAACGTCATTGATCATTTCCCAAGGAAGAGGTTCTTCAGCAACAGCCAGAGCATTTAAAATTGACTGAAACTTTTCGTTACTGATATGAAACGAATCTAATTCCTTACTTAATCTTGTTAAGCAAATTTCGTAATAATCATTGAGATCTTTTGGTATGGAACCTTTCAACAAATCCTGATTTTCGACTTCACTGGTAAGAAGCGATGCAAGCAACATAAGTCCGTCAGCTCTTTTTGCCAAAATATTTTTAAAATCAGAAAAGCTGTCAGTAGAGCCAATTCTTTCCTCAATCAAAAATTTAATATCGTCTAAATTGCGATCATCACTGCAATTAATGAACAGTGGATTTAATTTTTCGAACTTATTTAAAGCAACTTCGTTAGGTCTTGTTGTAATTACAAAGCGAAAACAAGGCGGAAGTTTGTGTAAGTGATTAGCAATCAAATAAGTAAGGTCATCTCTTTCTGGATAACCACATTCATCAAGAGCATCAAGCACAACTAACATTCGCTTGGGAAGTTCTGAGATATTACAAAACAACTCAGTAAAAAGAAGGGAAAATAGTCCTTCAACATTCATGTTATTCAAAGACTCAGAGAGTTTACCAGAAAGTTTTTTTACAAGAAGTTGTTTGTAAGCAGGAAACTTACGACTAACTTGCATCGCTAAAGATTGAAAAAGTACATTGGCTTTATTGTAACGACTGTTTTTGTGTTGAAAGAAATGAATTGCAGTCAAATATTGTGGGTAACGCTTACATAAAGTAGCTGCAATTACAGACTTACCCATGCCAGCAACAGCAGAAATAATAAATGCACGATTTTTAGAAGTGTCGTCTTCAAACCAATCTAAAAACTCTTTAAAAACCCATTCCGTGTTCCATGCAAATATTTTTCATAATGACGCCTAATTTCACTTTCAAAGTTACAGCAAACAAGGCTTTTTGTCAAAATATCTTCTTCTGGACCTAAGTGAGTGTGATGTCGTATTTCATGTACTTCGTCTTTAATTACTGTAACACTATCTTTTACCAGTTGTAAATCTTTCTCTACACCCTCCACTGTTCTCTTAATACCTCTCTGATCAGTTTTAATATCATTTAAATCGCTCTTTAATCCATCCCATTCTCTCAAAATTCTTTTATATTCTTCATTACCAAACAACTCATTTTTCAATCTATCTATTTCTTCCTGACTTATTCCTAAACGAACTAATGGTTCGCTTATTTCTACCCAAAAAATTTGAAAGTCATCAGAGCTTACTGAAGTGTTAGGTAAGTGAGCAAAACGATCATTACGAAATAACCTGATACGGGTAATATCTGCTTCAGTTGAATAATCAGTGGAGTCATTTACTGACGTCCATATTGGATCACGAGGTGCTTTTAAACCACAAATATTACGTAGGAGTATACAAAGTAAAGTAATGTCAAACTTATTTTCATTTGGTAATATTGGAGGAGGAGGATACAGTAGATCCCATTGATGTTGCTTTATTTGCTTATCTTTTAGCGACAAAAGCTTACGATAATTTTTTCTGTCATTTAAAAAAATAAATAAATCAGTACCTGACATGTGTTTCCTCAATGTTATTCTTAAAGCTTCTCCACCAACATCAACAATTAATCTCATCAACTTAAAACCATTAGTTTTTTTGTCTGAGCTCCAGACAGACGCCATGTTGCTACCTTTAGTAAAAAAGTACGTAAGACTTCCATAGTACAAATTTATTGTAATTATAAAGGAAAACCTGCGGCGGTTACAAGAAGGCAGAATAGTTTTATCCATAAGATGGCAAATTGTTTTGAACTTTTACAAAATCTCTTAAAAGGGAATAATATGTGAATTGAACTGAGCAATCATTGAAATCAAATATTGCTTCAAAGATCACAAAATTTCTTTCCTCTAAGGAAAATATAAACACCTTTTTCTGAAAATTTTACTATCCGACAAACAATGCTATCCAGGCTTCGTGCAACCGTCCTCGGATGTACAAGGTACGTAAAAAATAGGTACAAGTGTGTACATGTAAGTAGCCTTGACCTGAGTTACAGTACATGGAACAAACAGTAGTCAGTAGGGCAACTGCTTAGTGTTGTATTTTTCATTAAATTATGTGAAGTCCAAAGGCCATTCCCAAGGTCAAATCCCAAGGTCATTTCGTAGTAATAACATATGAAAAATAACATAAAATATTTTCATCGCCAAATGCCTTAAAATGAAATCATTCCTTCCTTTGGCACTTCTCTTTGGTACAAAACGTTCTCTGTGCTCAATGTTTAAAAGCAAGGCCCAGTAATTATCCATAGTTTCTATTGGAACCCACTCATTATACCATACAAATTGGTAACCCACCCTACATTTGGGTCCAAAATTTCTTACCATACATACGAGCCGAAAAATTCGTTTTCTAAGGAAAGCTGATTTTAGACTTATTTATGGTCTCTCTATGCATACTATATACAACACTGATAAAGTCTATGTATTCACTGATGCAATTAATGGCTGATGCAATCAATAGCTGATGCAATCAATGGCTGATGCAATCAATGGCTGATGCAATAACATGGTGCCAAATTAGGGAGATATTTTTGGTCCCTTATAGGGTAATATGAAGATAGATGATGCAATAACATGGGGCAAAATTGAGTGATGTTGAACTTTGAAGTTATTAACTTTTTTTTTATCATAGATGCATTTCATCTATTTTTAATTTTCTAATAGGGAAAATCTCGGAACCCATCCTACATAGACATACACTAGTTTATAACTAGAAATTCAAAATTTTTTCGACCCACCCCTAGAAGGCATTTTTGAAAATTCCAAGACCCCCCTAAATTTGGGGGGGGTAGAAACTGTGTTATCATTATCTTTCCTTTTTATTGCTCTTCTACGCACAGTGCGTGTTATGTGTGCTGGTGTTTACGTGCTAATATCGAGCAAATAAATCTCATAAATTTCAATGATAGAACGATAAGTTCGCCATTTTGAATTAAAACGATTTTTTTTTTAAGGAATATTATATCTTATTTCTATAACAATGGTGTGGTGAAAAGATATATCAAATCGGTTTGTTGTGTTGTACGAATATTTGCTTATTGATAGGACTATGTTGCAGATGCTTCTGTTGCAATTTCAATTTTTATATTTATTGTAAAAATGTGGAGGCATTGCACATGGTACATACATATATATCATTGCTGATGTAGTTATTTTCCATAGGGACATAATATATTTAAATTCTTTGTCATTTTTGGCAGTGTAACTATCAAGTTCCAAGCATTAACTATACTAGACAAAACAATAATATTCGTTATCCTTCGCATTTGCGACTATGAACGAGGACACAACCGAAGATATCACGACAGACAGACAGACACTTTCTCACTCAGACATTTTTTCATTATTGCCACCAAAAATTTATTTAGCAATATGAAATCTGTCTGCGATTTTAAGCCTTTCTGAGAAAAAAATTCAGAAATTTGGTCAAATCAACAAACTTTTACGGCATTTTGAAGTTTTACATTTTTGGCCGACGCCGTCGTTTTCTATAATACAAAAGAAACTGGCACTAGAAGGTATTTTGACGTCTTCCAATATAGTCAGCATTCGGGCATATTTAGCTTACATTAAACATATACGTTCTTTTACGATGTTTAATTATAATATTCGAGAAAATTTTGTCTTGCGAAGAAAGCGATGAATCAAAATCAGACTTGAGTGTTCAGTCAGATAATTCTGACAAAAACTTTACTCCGGGATACGTGACAGAAAACTCGGAAAGCAATGAAACTTGAGCGATAATGATTCGGATTTTGACTCCAAAGCATGGATGGTCGGAAAGACACAAATTCTAATCTCATCTTTTTAAGCCCTGGAAAATTAGCGTTCTTTTGATTCGGCAAACTAATAAACTGACGCTCCAAATCTTCTGGTTTTAATCGAGCCGAACAAAGTGTTGAAGCACTGGAAGGCTCAAATACGCGCTTTGCTTTAAAACCCAGATATTCCGTCTTCGCTTGGCCACGGGCCTTTTATCACTATAAGGCATAGTGTGAAGACTCATACGAGAGCAAAGGCTTGACTCATTCGTACAATTGGCTGCAACGCAACTATTTATCTTTTTTTCTGCTTTTACTAGTGCAAAGGCAATGCTTTTAGGAGCTTATAGACTTAAATTGTGCCTCAGCCAGCATTGACTTGATAGCAGTTGAATACACGACTCGTGTAACACGAGTACCTTGGATGATGTCAGAAAATTAGCTAGTTTACGGCTTCTCCTTATCACGGAAATTTAATATACGATTTTAGTGAATTTAACGTTTTTACAAAAAATTTTTCCTCAACGAGGCTTAAAATTATCGACAGATTTGATATTGCTAAAAAATTTTTTTGGTGGAAGGGACACTTTAAGACTCACAAGGTAAAATGCCTATTATTTTCACAGTAAAAGAATATAAAAACGTACATAGAAGGACTAAACATTTTATCAGTCTAGCTACACCACTGAAAATTTCATTCTTTAAAAATTCATAACCATTATCATTGTTTAGAAGGTATTATGATAAAAAAAATGAGCAGGTGTAATTTATTTGGACTAATGTTTCATTCACGACTTAGGAACTAAGGAAGACATAATGTAATTTGGGCACAGTTATAGGAACATATAGTATAATTTTGTAGAGAACATACAGTAGATTGCATTGAATATTTTTGTGCCATGCATATCTAATTCCGCAAGTGATTACCATAGTGGCAGTCAGACACCACCATTTTTTGACCAATAGGTGCACTGAGTTGGCAAACTACACACAGTAATATAATTATATATACAGCAGTAAGTTGCACAGAAAGTGGTCCTACTGTATATTCTCTATACTGTGGTTAGGGTGACATAAACATTTGGATGTAATGATCCCTAGACAACAATGGTTTTCAAAGGAACTTAACACATGTAGCCTATATTATGCATACATAATATGATCTAAAAATTAACAATCATCCTACAGTCCTGCCACAATTTTTCTTACTAAAATAGGGAGTGTGTCAAAAAGTCAACAAAAGTGATGAAAGCAATAAAAACGGTCAATAAAACATTGTAATAAGAAAACCAATGAAAAATTGGTGGGCATAATTTTTATGCAAGTTGACTCAAAATTGTGTAAAAGATGTAAGAATCTGTATGCCTATGACCAAAACCATTTTTCATTGGTTAGATTACTATTCTAAAAAAAATAGGCAAACTACATGAAGTAGCTTGCAATTGAAGAATAAAAACATATCAATACATAAATTAATATGAGCCCCCACCCAACAATTATTGATCTTCCTGTACATGAATGAATCCAAGTAAATAGATAAATCTTGTAACAAAAATATATATAGCGACCACACATTGTCCACAATCATTGATCAGTTATAAAAGATGAAGAACACATATAAAATATTGACTTTAGTATGTTATTTCATTAGCAAATCAACACATATCAACAAACAAGTTTTATCATATCAAAAGTTCAAAATATGTTGATGTACGTAACTAAGTGATGAAAACACTCTACAACGGTCATTTTAAGATAAAACAATGACAAAAATAACTTTCGAACGAGAACAGATCACGTTAAACACAGTGATTTAATGTTCCGCTTCACTTACATTTATTTCCTTCCTTAAACAATGTTTGAAATCTAACTTGAATATCTTCTTTATGTTTGTTGTATTTTATGGTTTGACAATAACCATGTTTAAATACTTATCACGAATAATAAAGCAATTTTCGTACAAGTTTTAGAGTTTAACTGTAACTACAATGATCATTGTTCTTAGAAATATTTAAATGACAAACCATCTTTGTTCTACTTTATACAGATAGGTAAATAAAATAAAATTATTTCGAATCGCCATCTATGGATGTCAAATCTTATTCTTACCGTTATATTAGATGAAAGGAATATTCCTTATATCATGATCATATATCGCCAGAAAAATATTTGTACGAAGGAATTGCACGAACACTTCCTAATTCAAATTCAATATAAGGGATGGGCGACTACAGATTACTGAGTAATCAATATCGCTCGATACCAGGCTTCTAGCGAAATAATCCATACCATATATGTCGATACCATAGAACCATCGTAATATTTTCTATTACTCTACAAACACTGTAATGTTTAGCCAAAATTCAGAAGGTAAATTTGTCTTTGTACGTTTTATATAACGAAATTCATAGACAATAAACTCAATGGGGACATAGCTCTGTCCGCCGTTTTTCGTGTCCGCCGGGAAAGAGTTATGGGGCGCGAAGTGTTTCTTTATTATTTACGGAATTTTTAATGTTTAATTTCATTATTTATTAAATAACCAAACGTAATAGGTTGGTTATTTCAAATAACCATTTTTTGGACCAGCATAAGTTTGGTTATATCAAATAATCAATTGACAAAATTTGGTTATTTAATAAATAACCATTTTATTTCGGCGCCGATTTGGTTATATCAAATAACCAATTTACGCTAATTGGTTATTTAATAAATAACCATTTTTATTTCGGCGCCGATTTGGTTATATCAAATAACCAATTGACAAAATTTGGTTATTTAATAAATAACCATTTTTATTTCGGCGCCGATTTGGTTATATCAAATAACCAAATAATTTTGTTACACTTGGCACACTTGAGATGACGTACGTTCGTGTTCTACTTACCCTCTCCCGCTGTGGAAAGTTATGTAACATGGCTTCCGGTTTAATATTATACACTGATTTAAGCAGAAAGCGCGCAAAACAAGGCATGGCAGATAATAAAAATGATATTTCGAGAAGGCTGACAGAAGCGATAGGAAGGGTAATCACGCAAACTTTGGGTACAAGAGTTATTTGAAACAAATTTAACAGATAAGCGTTGAGCACGAGACAAATGATCCACTGGTCATTCAAACCTGTGGCTTGCTACATAAAATCAAAGATATTTCGTTGATTCAGATTTTAAGTATTTTCTCAATCAGCAGGCATCAACGGCTGATGACATCCCCAGCCTAAACAGTTCTAATTCTAGTTCTATTACAGTCCAGCCTGTCCAGGTACGTTGACTTTTTACAGCTGACCCCTGGGTTACTAACTTACTATGTGCCTGGTCACTAGAGATGCTTTCCAGAGACACTCTTTTGTTAACATTTTTTTTATTTCTCAAAGTTTTAATTCACATGATTAAAAAGAGCAAAACATAATTGTGATATACACAATGTGTTCTCTGTAGCAAAGAATTCCAGCTCAAACATATTTGGAGACATCAAATTCAAGTTGTCACCTCAGTGTGGTAAGCTTTTTTATAATAAATTATCAATGTGAATCAGATATTCATTGATGAACATTGACAATGTTAATGAACATTGACAATGTTAATAACCACATTACATTTATCACATGTATGCTACCAGGAGTTTATATTATGTTGTCGTCAAATGAGAAATTTGCAGTGCCAAAATATGAGTTTCCAGAGTTGAATTGTTGTCAATGCCAATAGGCATAAGCAATGTCTTATTTACTTTGTATATTATGGTTTGGGATTAAAAGTCAAACATGATTAAGCAATCTATTAAAAGTTTAAATTACTTCTTAGACAAGGCAACTGCCTTCACTTTTTGGTGGAGTAACTGGTAGAAAGAAAAGAAAACAATCTTCTGCATGCCTTCCTAAAAGAGGAAAAGTTCACACTAAGGATGTTGTTTGTTTACCACCAACAGATCAAACCTTCAACATTCCTATTCCACAAGGGAATAAAAGAGCACATCTTGCAGAAATGGGCTTGATAGGGAAAGTTTCCATTAACTCTGCTTGGGGGGCTGAAGAAGTTGCAAAAGAAATTTCTAGTGTATTCTCTAGGGCATTTAACCTTCAGCCTGGAGAAGTTCTGTCATATGATTATTTGGGGTATGTCATTCATGAATATAAGGTGTTTGCATTGCTCATTGTTGTAATTTTGCTATTAAGTTAATTTATATGTAACGAAAACAAAACAATGAAAACATGTACTTATTAAAGATGTGTTTTAATATAACAAAGGGGACAAAACAGTTGACTTTCCCATAAATATCAAGATCTTTTGTGTGGAATGGGCCAGAAGTCATCTCAAATTCATCCCAAGGATGTCTATACATAATGGCTAAAATCAATCCTGTATCAACTGTTTTCATCTCAGATGATGATGACTGTGATGATCTCATTGAGGTATTAGGCATTATCTTGTAGTAGAAATCAAAAATTATATATGAGATAAATGGTCATAACTGTTCTCAAAACTTTTTAATGACTGTATTATTTATTTTACTGAAAGAGTGTAAAAGGAATTGGTAACCAACCTAAAGATGAAAAGAGTGATGCTGTTAGTGAAACTGTTTTAAATCATACACATCCCTTGTCAGCAACAAGTGTTGAATCAGCCGTAGCTGTAACCACATCTTCTCCATCTTTTACTTCAACAGTTTCACTTAGTCAATATTCCATATTCCTCCATATATCTAAAAATGGTAATTCTTGACACTAAAAGATGTCTTGCAATATCACATATAGGAACTTTCAGTTGAAGAAAGTTCAACAAATGTTCTTTGTTAACTCTCCTTCTAGGTCGGCCAGCCCTTCTGTTAATATCATTTTCACCTCTGAAAGAAAAGAAGCACAACTTGCATTTTATATGTCCTTTCTATACCAAGATAATTATCAATAAACTGACTATTGAGGATACTAACTCATATGCTGAGATATCCAACATTAAAATGCACAAATTTATGTGCATAAAGAAAAAAGTATATCTTAAAGAAAACATGAGTTAGAGGAATACAATGATACCTTTCATGTAAATCTTGTATATTATCAGTCATTACTATCTAAACAATCAAATGAAACATTGACAAGCATAGCATCAACCCTAACCTTGATGGCAAAACAAATTATAAATATATATCTTGAGCTGGAATACTTTGCTACAGAGAACACATTGTGTATATCACAATTATGTTTTGCTCTTTTTAATCATGTGAATTAAAACTTTGAGAAATAAAAAAAATGTTAACAAAAGAGTGTCTCTGGAAAGCATCTCTAGTGACCAGGCACATAGTAAGTTAGTAACCCAGGGGTCAGCTGTAAAAAGTCAACGTACCTGGACAGGCTGGACTGTAATAGAACTAGAATTAGAACTGTTTAGGCTGGGGATGTCATCAGCCGTTGATGCCTGCTGATTGAGAAAATACTTAAAATCTGAATCAACGAAATATCTTTGATTTTATGTAGCAAGCCACAGGTTTGAATGACCAGTGGATCATTTGTCTCGTGCTCAACGCTTATCTGTTAAATTTGTTTCAAATAACTCTTGTACCCAAAGTTTGCGTGATTACCCTTCCTATCGCTTCTGTCAGCCTTCTCGAAATATCATTTTTATTATCTGCCATGCCTTGTTTTGCGCGCTTTCTGCTTAAATCAGTGTATAATATTAAACCGGAAGCCATGTTACATAACTTTCCACAGCGGGAGAGGGTAAGTAGAACACGAACGTACGTCATCCATAGATATAGTAGGTCTAGATTACTAACGAGCCGCCATATTGCGTGACATCCATGATAAATCCAAGATGGCGTGGGAACCGGGCAAAAAACATGGAGTCACTATAGGGCAATTGATGTTTTTCGCAATTTACTTCTTCTCATTGTTTTCAAACTCTTCCGATGAAGTTTTATTGGAAACAAATCTTTATTTCAAGTGTTTTGAAACGATATTGGACAGTTATAATTAAAATACGGGTGAAAATATCGCTATCGAAATATTGTGTAAATTGGTCGTTTGGTTGTCTCAAGTCGTTTGTCCACTAAAAGAAACAGATTTTTTCAGCTTTAACTCCCATACTGATTTGTTGCGCATCGGAATATGTCATATTGACAATTTACAGAAAGATTGGGGAATCAATCTGAATATTTCTGACAAAAAAGCGACTCATTCGAGAAAGCACTCTGCACTCCCACTGTACTCGTACTGATATGAGATATGTGAGATTCAAACACGGTTTAGAAAGGCCATCCGACTTTGAATGAATGAAAAGAGGAGCAAGGAGATACATAACAATGCAGCACTATTATCTACTGACAAGATCTTAGTGAAGCTATTAAAGTTAGTAAACCTAACTGAAGGAAACTTGCCTCATATCAAGTAATTGTATCCAGGAGCATTGGCTATACTGATGAGATCTTACAGCTAAGAGGTTCAACGAAAGAGAAGGAACTTATGTTCAGAAGCTTGTTATATTAACAGTGGTTATTTCAAAATCTGACATAATTACATTCAAACACATAACCCAAGATACTGTTACAATACTATTTTTTGAGAGAGTTATAAAGCTCTGTATAAAGTATTTTTTACCAGAGCTAAGGTGTTCATTAAATTTATATATTATCTTATGAAATATTTGATATGGATGTCATCGGTGGCATATCCAGAATGAATGTTTTACACTTGCTATGTAAATTTCACTGCATCATTGCTCATTCATTAGAAATCTATTGTTTTTACAGTGAGTGAAAACAGCAAGATTGAGATAGAATGAGCAAATAAAAATGCTGGCTATGGCTGAGATTATTATAAGATATAGCTGTGAATAAAATATATGTGACTTTTATGCTTATCATACTTAGTTATAGTATATGTTTTTATTATGCTATAGCTACAACACCATCTATGATACCAGTTGTTTCCAATGGCAATACAATTTTATAACTACAAATGTCTAAATTGCATCACATTATTAACATGCAACTAATGACTTCTGATAAAAATTGTATCATACTGCTCAGTTGGTTCATTTTATGACACTTACGTACAAAGATAAGTAAACTACTGATATTTCTTTGTTCAATACATGACAGCCCCAGCAACTGCCAACTGCTCTATTGTAAGTGAAAGCAAGCTAGCTGAAGAGACACAAAATGTTGATAGGAGAGTTGCAGCATTATTAAACAGTTCCACTCTTTGGCATGATGATGTACTGACCTATATCAGTGAATGCATAGCCAAGAAAATTACAAGTTGCATCAAGTGTGCTGA